GCGAGCTGGTCTACACCGCTCAAGGTACAGTGTGGTTCACCGCAACACACACACACACACACACACACACACACACATATAAATACACACACACAGTACAGATGTGGTTCTAATGCTGCCATGTTGAATCACATTATTGTTTTGTTACACTAACTATTGGGCCTATTACTCTCTGCCACACACACGGGCTCGGAGCGGCGTGCAGATTTAATTGTGGTGATGTTGCAGGGCGAGGCGAGCAGCTGGATCTGGGAGTTTTAACAGTGATATCAATAACGGAGCGCCACCTTAGGCCGATATAATTTCCCATCTCTCCTGACAGAGCGGGAGATAGAAATAATCAGTCACAACACCACAGCCAGCCTTGGCCTGTAGGACCCTGTGTGACATGCAGCAACACTGATGGCTCAAGACGCGTCTGAGTCCAGGGGGCAACGCTGCATTTGTGTGTGTGTGATAATTGGTGGGAAGATGTTGGATCTTATGAGAAGACAAATATTGGTGACATTGCTTTCTCCAAAAAGTTCAAATCTGAGGTGTCTCGGAAACAACGCAGGATAAGAACGAAAAGGTCAGAAGCTAAAAGTACTTTCCTCTTGAGCTTAAAGGGGCAGGAAGCCAAGATCTCTACATAGAAAGAACATTATGAAGATAATTATCCTGGAAATGCTCTTTATAACGTCATTATTTGACCGTGACACATCTCAAACCACTCAAAGATAAAGATTTATCTCTAATAACAAAGTCAGTGACATAGAATGAAGCTGCACATCACATATACACAGTGTTACTTTCATTTATGGGACTTATTTTCTTATTTTTCATAGCTTCCACCAGGGTGGTTGAAATTACACGTGCAAACATATGAAGGTAAAGAAAAGGTGTGATTCTCTAATTGGGACCAAACCTTGTTAAGTCTGTTGTGAGTGTCCTGTGCAGACCTGCAACAGATTGCAGACGGATTCCTCTGAAAATAAAGCTACGAGAACACACTCAGCCATCTGCACAAAAGTTCCACGTGGGAAATTAACGTTAATTTAACTCAGTGCATTTGAGTTGATGCGCATCTGAATTTTTCTCCAGGTTTTATTTAAAGATTCAGGCCTGGAACTAAATAAGGAAGATGAACACAACAACATTACGGATTATAATCCCTCAGTATCCCTGTACTTTGTTTTTTATGTAGTAAGTTAGTTGGATGGATTGCAGTAATATATATTTACTGCAGTATAAGATGTATTCTCTTATTTTAAGAACATTTAATTTGAAAGACAGTGACTGGAGAGGTCCTCTTTATTTTTGATGCTTTGTATTTGGTGACATCTAGTGGTGCAACATTGAAACGTCATGATTAGAAACTGATTTTAATTAACGTTCTGTAGAAAATATTGATAAACTCTATGAGTCTGTCATCTTACACATCAGAGGTATTATCAGTGCACAGTCACGTGCACAGCAGCTCACTTTAAACTGTGAATACATTCCTGGAAATTAGTTATTTTAGAATTAACTTGTAAGATGTATTTATATTTACACACAAACTATATATAGTCACACATACACACACTTTTTAATTCCTATTTTATTTTGTAATTTCCTTTTCTAATTTTATTCTTTTATTTCTTTTCCCCCTTGCACTAATAATATGTTAATATATAAACATGCTTTAATTTTTAATCTTATTTATCTATTCACTGTGTTGGAAATAGAGCGCTCGACACAGTTCACTGCAGCTTTTACCTTGAATCCTTCAATCCTGAGAATTTTTTCAGACTGTTCTTCAACAAGGAGTTGGGAACAGATTTATGATATTCAGTGACCTCCAAAGAGTAAACCTTCAAAATGTGTTCATGTTAATGTACATGTGCAGCAGACATCAACTAAAGCAGCACTATCAATCTTTTCTATCAGTAGCTATTGTTCGTGACAAGGAAATAAACCGGCCTGCATATTAAATCAATATATATGTGCACAGGGAAAAATGGATTTGTAAACCTGCACAAGAACCTGCGAGGAATGCAATGAATGAAAGAGGGAGGGAAGAACGGAGGGATGGGGGAGTGACAGACAGAGGTGGTGGGAGGAAGAACGAGAGGTTCGGGGGGCAGAAGAGAGAGAGAGAGCAGCGGAGGAGGAACACACACCTTGAGTTCAGGTAGGAGTCAAATATCTTCTAACTCTCTGCTACAGTTTCAAAAATTGATGCGTCCTTAAAGCTAAACTTTAAAAATGAGCCAAAATATTTTCTGGAGATTTGCTGTTTACAGATTTATTTTTGGGAGAAGTCGCTTCATTCAAAAGTTCAAAGAGACTCTCTACCTGTGATGTTTCAGCTCCGTTGCTCGTGCTGAATGTCTCCATTGTTCAGCCTCGATACGCTGGAATGCTCCTGAACATCCTGCATAATCCTCTCAATTATGAATGCTATCATTTATTCTAAAGGTCCCAGCACCTCAGCAAAGGCCGACCGGTAACTTAGCAACTAGTGCCTCTCATTCAACATTAAAGTGGGGGAACACGAGACGACCCAGAGGCCTCGGACAGTGACCGGGATTTGTTTCCCCTCGTTCCGACAAACAGGTTGATGCCTCATCCCACCTGAGCATCGTCTCCTGTTGTTGAAACTTTAAAACTCCCGAATGTCCCGAATAACAACAAAGATAACGTCTTTTTCAAACATGGGAAACAGATTCTGTCCATTCATACTCTGAGGGAGCATTTTTCCACAGGGACCTGATTGTGACACAGGTAAACTGAAACCTCGCCTCGTTTTTTGCTCCAGGGGGAATAAGTGTCACTTCAACCTACAGTATGCCCACTGCACACTCAGAATATGATCCATTTTAAAGGCCGGGTGGAAAAAAGCGTGACCCCTCTCCTGGCCGAGGATCACATACCTCGTGCAGGTGATGAAAGACGTAGCTCAGTTTCAATGCCCTGAGCAGATAAGCTCTCCTGTTTCCACCGACAGTGACAATGGGCGTCTGTGCTGCATTCGGAAGCAACTATCTGGGACTTTTAGGGTTCGATGATGTGGTGTTGGGTTTCACTGACACAACTTAGCCCTGATGTGGCGTTAAATAACCAAATAATGTAGTAAAAATCTATAAATACTGATGAATTCATATAATTAGGACTCTAGAAAAGCTTTGCCGTCGATTTGAGATGAGGGAGAAGGTCTGAATGCAGCACTGACCAGGGGAAACAGGGCAGTGGTTACCTGAGAGCACTTAGGAGTCTCGTGAGAAACTGAATATTGTGCAGGTGAGATAAAGTTGCAATGAAAGGGAACAGTTTGTGTCCCAGTTTTAAAAGAGCGACAGAGATGCTCACTGGGTTTATGTGTCACACACAAAGAGTTGGATTACAAAACATTACAAAGATCGTGGCGAGGACTGGGATTCAGGACACCAGATTTTCTTATCGTGTACGTTTCAACACTCAGTGTTCTTTTCCCCAGAGCTGAACATAAATGTTGTAACTTTTAATTTGGGATCTGACGGTTTCTTTTACATTTTCTCTCTTTCCAGACAAAAAGCAGCAGAACCACATTTGAGGCAACAAGACTTTTTAGAGCACAATGTTACTGCGGTCTCATTCAGAGAGAAGACCCCTCCCTGGGTTCTCAGCCCTGCTCACACAAACCGCTCCAAAACCCAGAGATGCGACCTCCCCACCTCCCCGATCTTTCGCCCCACGGCAGTCTGTCTTCACACCCGTATCTCTTACGTCACCACCTCCCTGGGTGACTCAGGCCCTCTCCAACCTGGAGCAAGGAGAAAAAGAACTGCAGGGCCTCCGGGAGCGGCAGCAGGCCGAGGTGGAGGAGGTGAACCGCCAGTTGGACAATGCAGCGATTGAAGCTCAGAGAGAGGAGCGGCGTCTTCTCGAGAAGATCGAGCAGGACCACAGAGAAGCCCAGCGGCATCTTAGTCAGGTGAAGAGGGAGAACGCTGCAGCCGTGCGGGTTGTGCAGTCACTGGTTGACCAGCAATTTAGAAAAATGGGACAACTGAAGGAACAGATACAAAGATGGGGAAGTACTGCAGGTGGATCCAACAAGAATCAGCTCCAGAGAGGCGTGGCAGAGGTCACCCAGCCGTGGGAAATCTCTCTGACACTGAAAAGAGTTTGTTTCTTACCAAGTGCAGAGTCCAAGACCTTGAGCTTAGGGGAGGTTAGTGTTAGTGAACAAGGTATGACTTACCCCATCGGTGTCTGTGGTGTCCAAGGACAGAAGTGTGCCCTGCACTCAGGGGACACAGCCTTTTTAAACCTCACCCCTCTTGAAATTCGAAAGGAACCTCAACCAAACAGAGGCGGACAGAGGTCCAGTCCAGATGGGACCAACACGACAAACACACGCGTTGTCCGGAAACTACATTCATCGAGCTCCACGGAGAACGAGGATGAGCTCAAGTCGCCCGTTCTGAGACACCGCGGAGTGTCTGAGTCCTCTCAAGATGAAGACCTGGACTCCGTGTGCTCAGACATACAGGGGCAAGATTTCTTCCTCGCCATCCCACCAGTGTCCAGTCAAGGAGAATCTGAAGGTGATGAATCTGATGGCAGACAGAGTGGAACACTGAGGTGCTCCACGCTGAAGGGGCGGAGGAAGCAAAAGGCCCTGGTCTTGGTCTCATGTGAGGAGCCGTCCTGTTCTCCTGAAGAAACCGACGAAAGACGCTGTGATGTGACTCACAGTCTCGCAGATCTCTCTACTGGACTTCCTCCTCTGTCTCAAAAAGCAAAGAACTCCAGTGAATCATCAGCGGATATTGGAAGCCCTCCATCACCAGTGGACAGTGAGGATTCCAGTTACACATATACTGTGGATTCACCTGTTAATGGATCTCATAAGCAAGAGCAGTGCCGCTCGACATCCACTGTTGACCTCCCTGGTAAACTACGCCCTCTACTCAACAAGAGTGACAGCAGAGGATTCAGGAAGGTGAACAGAATGAGACTTGCCTCTGAACCTTCAGCTCTGGAAGGAGTCCAGGGAAACGACGCAGAATCCGAAAGGAACAACATCAGCTCTGATAAACGACAATCGAGATCCCAGACTCGTGTGACACAAGGTTCAGGTTTAACCCGTGTGAGCAGATCTCTGTCTATGTCGGCTATTGAAGGGGACAAATTACAAGTTAAGGAATCACAACCAGACAACAAAGAGAGGGAGAAAGTTGTGCCAGCCTTGAGGGACCTGGAGGAAGAGGGGGGCTCGACTGCTCTGGACTCAGCTTATCTGATTAAACAGTTTGGAAAACAAGGATCCGGCCGTACTGACTTCAACCTGCCGAGCGGCGTCCACGCAACTGTCAAAGGGCAGCTGTTTGTGGTGGATTGTGGAAACGCCCGCATTCAGGTGACTGATCTCCAGAAGAACGTTGTGCAGCAGGTTTCTCCTTCAGGGTCAGAAAGATCTTCCCGTATCTGCAACTACTTTGACGTGGCTGTGAACTCGAAGGGCCTCATCGCTCTGACCTGTGCTGCTGAACGTGCTGTGCTGGTGTTCAGCCGTCATGGACGCCTCCTGCAGACGTTCGGAGGCACGACGATTGGTTCCAGCAACGAAGAGCTGGACGCTCCCAGAGGGCTGTCTGTCAACCGTCAAGATGAGTTCATCGTCGCTGACATAAAGCGTGGGACTTTAACCGCCCTCAAACTGGACCCCAAAACTGGATCCAGGCTAGAACGCACAGTGGTAACCGGGTACCACCGACCGTACCTGGTGGCAGCCTGTCTCTCCACTGGGCTCATGGCGGTGTCAGAACGAGGCAACGAGAGTGGACGCGTCCCGTGCATTCGAGTCCTGGAGCCTGGCTGGAGCACTATCCGAATCCTGGGGGTGTGCTCCGGCTTGGGGCCCGTCCTGACCTGCCCTTGGGGCCTCTGCATCGACGGCGATGGGGATGTCCTGGTGGCAGACTGGGGAAAGCAGCACCACCGTGTTCTTTACTACCCGTCCAAGGGTGTGGGCTGGCCTCTGGTGACGGATAACCTGAGCAGTCCGAGGGGTCTGGCACTGCTGCCGGACGGACACGTGGTCGTGTCGGACAGTATGAACCATTGCATCAAGATCTACCGCTACAAATAAACCACAGAGGAAGATAGAGATAGATGAGGACAGATCTCAGACTAATCACTAACAATATTTGTATCGGCAAACAATGTAGTTTAATTTACAGCCTCTACCTCTATGTTTGATGAGATCTTCTCATTATGATGATCAGTGAACGTTAAAAAAGTATAGAAGATTATTTCATTGCACCATTCAGAACAGAAACAATACAATTAGTAGATAAATATACGATTGCATGTTTTTAAATTGACCTTGAGTGTTGCTTAAGTTTGGTGAATCATATTCTTTGTCCCTGTGAATCACGCTCATGTTGCAAAAGATTCAATTAATCAGTAATCGAGACAAATTTGAGAACGTTGTATAATCTGCAAATCAAACTTTGTAGTTGACTTAGTGAGGAGCTGTTTGTAAAAATAATAAAACTGAGTTATGTTTCATCCAAGTTTGCACAATACTGGCTACACACACACACACACACACACACA